CTTCCCTTGACTGAACAACAGGTGAAGGGGAAGGAGTAGGTGGAAAGCTGACTGATCGTGCAGGGAAGAATCTTCGGCCACGACGTGGATGCCCAAGGGCTCTAGTAGTAGTAGCTGTAGTGGTAACAACAGAAGCAGCTATAGTAGAGAAATCAGGTCTACCCCGACTGCCACGCTTGGTCTTTCGCATATTTAGGACAGTGAGTAGAATTCTAAAAGACAGTACACACAGTACAGTGAGATAAGAAGAAAGCACGTTTTTCGCTGTGATTTTGACTGCGCATGCGCGACCCCGCCCAAAAAGTACGAGAATTGGGGGGTCCTCACTTTTTTCATACCGCAGTTTGCAGTTCACTCTGCATCTGAACACTAAGCCTAGCTAGTGCGCATGCGCTGCGTGTTAGCCTCACCTACATTAGGCACCTGATCACTCACGTGACTGATATACCACAATATAGGGCGTATTCATTACTCTGATTTGAATAATTAGAAATTACGGTCAATGGGGGCAGAGCGCATTACAGTAGGTCGGCACGGGTGTTCTTGGACATTTAGGCCTGGTTTACACGACTACGTTTTAAAGTAAAACGGATATATTTTTAGCCAGATAAGGGTCTCGTTTACACTAAAACACAAGAAAACGCATATCAAATCCGAACAAAAGAAAAACGAATACCAAAATGGATAACTCTATAAACGAATGATAAAGTCCAATAAAAACGCAGCTGCTGGATTAGTGTAAACACCTGAAAACAGTAATAGCAAAAACGATGCAGATTAGGCTAGCGTCGTCGTGTAAACGTGGCCTTAGTTTGCGCAGAGAAATTTTGAAATTTTATGGTTGCCATGGTGACACTGTGCATAACAACCTTTTAAATAGATTTTTTACTTCTTGTGCCTTGTGGTGGAGCTACAGGGTCAAAATGGAGTCTATTTGTTTTAGCAAAACGAGAGCTTCAAGTAGCTCTTTGTTCCATGTTACTACGACTTTCTAGTCAAAAGTTATGGATGATAAAGGGTGGAACTTACACATGAGTCTTTTAGCTAACTGAAGGTTTTCTCTGAAGTAAGGAACTACTCATAAGGTAGCCTTATGTAACTGACCCCTTTTCAAGTAGACTGTTGCTGTACTGCCACGTTTTTGTCTGTTACCATACCAGAGCAAACAGTATAATGGTATGTGGCCACCTGGAGCTAAAAGTATTTTATGGACTGTGGACACATGATGTACTTAAGAGAGGGGCTTTTGCCTTTCTTTTCTTTAATTCAGAGCTCAAGAGTGACATTAAGAGGTTGAATGGGTAAATGGGATAGTTTAATAGA